ATTTGTAATATATCGTATAAATATTTTTAAACTAACACTCATCTAATATAATTATATTCAATATTCATTTTTTTCATATAACAATCCACTTGACCCTAGTTTTACTTTCTACTATTTAAGCTTTTACTGTGTTTTTTACCTTACCTGCGTATTATCAAAATAAAAATACAATTCACTTGATATAACGAACGTTTAATATAAACTTACGTTATATAATTTCATTTGTGGTAACAAGCACTAACCCTAACGCTCATTTTAAATTATAATTATAAGTTATAAATTTCAGTTTAGTTGAGTAAACAAATTATTAAACTGAAATAAGTTTGACCTATAAACATGTTCGAAAACGCAAACGTTCAATTTCAGTTCTGGAACTCGCCGGCCGCTCTTCGGCACGCTTACTTGCCTCGCTCGTCTCATACTGCTTTTTCATATACGTACAAACCGAACCTATTAAAGGAAGGGCTCACATTACAGATACTGGTAAATACCTCACTAAAATATCTGAATTAACTTATCTGAATTAATGTGTAAAATGATTCTTATATAAAAAAAGATTTAAGTAAAATGTTCCTATAAAATATGAATATTCATTACAAACGAGAATTTAACCAAATTAAGTTATGGGAAGTGTATTTAGTCCAAGTGAGAAGTATATTAAATGAGCAATATTATATGTATTAAAATTAGTTTATTTGATTTTCACATAAACGAGGCTCACCCTTATAGGCTCAATTTATATTGCGGCGGAACGGAATGGAAGCTAATTTTTCTAACATAGCATAATGAACTTTATGATCAATTGTGTAACGTACAAACTGGATACGAGCCAAAATCTTATGCCATGCCAGCGAAATCCGCGAAAGATTTTGACTCGTATCTAGTTAGTGCGTTACACAATTGATTGTTGATCATAAAGTTCATTATGCTATGTTACAAGAAGTAGCTTCCATTCCGTTCAGCCGCAATATAAATCGAGCATAAAGTACACAATTCATTGTATCTTGTAACTATTGTGCCTTCAACTTGCTCCTTAAGTACAAGCATCTTGCTTCATAATTTGTATAGAGACAATCTGGAAAACACTTCAATACACAGTACGAAGATACGAATTGTATCACCGACCTATAATCTCATTTTTGCACTTACGTAAATATGTTTTACAACATTCTTTATTGCATGAGCTTTCTTCTTCTTCTTCTTTTAAATGTTATGGCTCCATCGAAATATTCAATGATTTTGCCAATGTCAAGTAAAAATAACTATGTACGGTAGTTTAATATTATGAGCTTTAAATAGTTACAGTTTGAACTTGTCTTGTCATTGTCTAAATGATATGTCACAGACAACGGAGATCAATCGATCGAAGTGTCGTATTGTTTGTGAATATTTCGACGCGATGCGGGCGCGTGTCCGGCGAACGGAAGCCTGGATACATGAATGGAATACGAATTGTAGAGTTAATCGCCTACTTCGATTAAATCAGAGGTTTATACTTAAATGATAATTTTCTATGCCTCTGCTTTGGAAAGACGCTGTGTTAAACAACAAAGAAAATGACAAATCAATCACAAAAACAAAATATCTAGTTTTTGAAAAAAAAATCCTGGTATTACACTACATAACACTGTTTCTGATCACATTGTACCTCCAATGAACACTACGCCGACTTAATTGGTCCACAAATTAAGTCGGCGTTGTTCTGTTTTTATTTTGGTTTTATGATTTTTATTTATTTATAAAGCATTGGCTTCCGAGCCATCAGCTTAATGGTAACAAATAATCAAAAAACGCACAACGTAATATACATAAACTAAAAATTAATTCCTGTAAAAAATGTAACGACTAAAAATATATTTTGGTTTTTGTTTCATATGTTTTTTTTTTCACAAAATTCGTTTTTTTGTCTTTTTTCCGAAAATGCTTTTGTTCCTTTATTTTTTTTATTGGCTTGGTGTTTATTGAAGGTATCGAAGGTAAGTATTCATTTAGGAGTATTCATAGATTTCACACAGGTGAGCACTATGTCAAAAAAGCCGTTAAAAACCAAAAAAATGGATTTGCCACAAACAGAAAAATTTGTATGATCTGCTTACTCGGTAAATCCAGCCCAACTTTTGGGAAACACTGATATATATGCCGTGCAGTAGGTATATTCCATTCCTATACTGCAAGCATCAGGAAGGATGCATCAAACAGCTCCGTGACAAAAGTATGGAGTGTTCCGTACTTTGTAGTAGACCCAAGGAGGAACGGCGTGGGTGTAACCAAATGGTAAAGTTCGTACGCACTCTCCGAAATGTATTCGATAACTGCCTCCGTGCCAGGACGGTTACCATACCGTACTGCCACGCAGAGGTCCCAGGTTCGATTCCCGGGCCGGGAGAAATATTTGTATAGCCTACATTTATTTCTCTCGTGAATTTGGGTGTAATTTGTTGTTGTCTATGTGTGTGTACATGGCACCCGTGACACAGGGTTTCCCTAGAGCGGGGCTGAGTTGAATCTGCGAGCGCGTGCGTATTCGATAGAAAACCGACAAGCAGGCCACTGTTCCGCGGTGATTACGACTTGTAAGCTTCGAGTTCTTTAGATAGTCGTAGGCAATAAATTTCTTCGCTTTTCGCTCCACCGAGTCCGAATCAAATAATATCTAAATATAAAACACTTTTATGTAAATAAGTATTGTAAATTTATTTCCAGTCACGTATCCTTTGTCTCTGTGCTACTAAACAAAAGCCTATAGCTTTGAGAAACGCTAAAGTCTTTTAATAATATTTGAATCATTCCACTAAGCGGTGCCTATCAAACGGTATCGCTTGAATTCGTTATGTTTACACAGAATTTAAACCTATGTAATTAGCACCCTTTGTATAATAAATCCACACGTGATCATATGTCAAAACTGTAATTTATTTGTAAGTAAGTAATTTCTATTTACCGTCCTTAATACACAATGTATTATTATGCCATCGTTGCAAAATGATGGTTATGTAATGATTGCATACAATGCTTTTTCTACGAGTAAAAAACATAATGAAACCGAACCAATGTTTAATGTATATTTTGTTAACAATCCATGACAATAAACGCATTTTTTAAAATAAATTTTAACCCATTTATTACGATAGGCGTAGTTTCCACCATACAGCCCCTTCATATATTTAGACGAAAGCCAAACAAACGCTGCAAAACAAAAAACCAAAAAGATACAATAGAAGTGGCCAAGTACCGTAAATATTTTAACCTGTAATTTTTTTCATAAACATTTACGGCCCGGTTGCGAGACTTTTAGACCAATTCCACCAATCAAGAGGCAGTATAGCATTTGAGTAGCGTCCTAATCGATATTTTAATCGGCAAAAATACTACGTTCCTTTTTGAAACTCATTATAGTTCTGTGTACAGAACTTTAATGACATTCTTCAGCTCAGTGGCGAGTACCACAGACAATAGAATTTTAATCTTTGAAAATGTTATGCTTAATAATAACATCAAATTCGATTTTAATGTTACATTCAAATTTCGAACATCTCTGAAAAACAAAACAATTTGATTCGACCTCAATTCTAATATCAGTCGAGAGGAAGTTTTATCCGAAATCTCAGAATAATAACGCATGGAATGATAGTTTCATATCAAACGAACTGTCACAAGTGAGGCAAAAATCAGGTTCATGTAGGCGTAGGCAACTTGTATCTACACTCGTCGGCACGCACATTAATATACAAATATGATGCCATGCTCAAAAGTGTAGTATAAATATTATCTATTTTATGTTTGTCTGACGTATTTTTACACTCATTTACCGCACATTTCGTCATTTTTAGCTAAAATTCTTGAGCTGTTCGCGGTGCAAGTTGACCTTGAGCACTGAAGGCCCACCCGGTCGTGTAGGCCCATTGGGAGCGCTTCAATTTGCCTCACTTAGCGTGTGCGGACTAGGTTTCTATGCGTTATTATTCTAAGTCCGATATGAAATGTCAATAGCAAACAATTTTGACAAACACAAACATGTTACTTGATATCGAACTGTTATATTCCAGCCCTACTACCTAAACTACTAGAATCAGCCCTGCCATTCGCTCTGGGCCTTTTGGAGGGAAAAGTGTCGTTTTTATTTTGACTTTCAATTATTTTGTGAAATCTGGTTTAAAGTGGAATAGGATAGTGCTATTGTGCCTTAATCGAAGATTAAAACGCGAAATTATACAAATCGAAGTAAAATACCCGTATCGGCCCTTTCTAAAGAATCCCGAGTCAATCCAAGCACGCCGCCTCAAATTGCCTATCCTCTTTGTGGCGGCTTTATTTACAGAAACATAATTAAACGAAGACAAGGCTCAAACGACTTGTATCCAAGCCAAAATTATTAATAAAAAAAAATCAATGCTGCCATTTCTCCTAGTCAGCATTCTTCTTTGAACATCACTAAAACTACATAGAAAGCAGCTCAGTTCCTTCCAAACTCCTGTCGTGTAAACATGTGCCAATTCAATTTCCATTTTTTATGCTTTATTCTATTGTACTTAATTACCACTTCTTCCCGAATTACACAATTTCGGAAAAATTGTGTTTTTTAAAAAGAAGACTTACTACGCCCCGTATAACAGAAGGATATGATAGTTGGAGGCGACTCTAGTTTGTCTACGAATTAAAAAAAATACGGTTGTGACATGCCTGAGAAAAGTTTTTATTTGCCGCCATTTCGCCATTCCTGTTCCTGAACACATCTTAGAGAGCTTATAATATGTGTATAGATAAAGCAGTGTATGTAACTGTACATAATTAGGGATTAAAACACTCGTGTGGTGTTTTATCTCACTCGTATTTTAATACCTTTCATTATGTAACAGTCACTTAGACCACTGTTGATTCGGAACTAAAAAGAGCGCCTTTATGATATGGTTTATGAAATTATTATAGTAAATTCAAATGTAACTCACAACGATTTAGATTAAGGGTTGATCAAATACTCAAGGGATTTTTTTCTATTGCAGTGCGATGAGGGTGGTGGCGTGGCGGAGTGCATTAAGACTGAACCTCCCGAGCCGGAGGAACCGCGTACGATGCAAAAGGTGCCTTCTCTCTCCGACTTATCCGACCCGGAGGCCTCCTTAGGTAAGTGCTTGTTTTAATAACTATAGAACTACAAGTAACATTTCATTATACAACTCGTACAAGAAAAATAAAAAACAACAACTTATTATTTTTGTTTCAAAATGTATTAATAAATAAAAGTAAAAAAGAAATCAAATTTAAACATCGCAATTTGAAAAAGATCGAATTATAAGTGCAACAACCAAAATTTTATACGGCACCTACATCTCTGGCATATCTTATTTATGATTAATTAAATCTTGCGTCCAAACGATTTGATAAAACTCTCGTAACTTCGACGTGTTACATGCATGAATAATATCAATCAATCATTACATACATAGATATGAAATTATAACTATACATATTGACATTCATTTATTTGCATTTCACGTGGTAACACAGCTCCATAGACTTACGACTACAGTAGGTATTAAGATCGTAGCAACGTTACAGTTATAATTTAAATACAGTTATTATTTTTGTATTTTATATGTTACGTAATATATTATTCGTACATTTATATTTTAGTACTTGATAATAATTTTGTGATCAACATTAGTTTTTCGCCGTTTTTCAATATGGCCTCTTACTAGCGTAAAAAACGCGGCAAATAAAAATTTGCTCTAATCCGACTGGAAATCAATTTATAAGGCAGTGTACCTCAGATCTTTGTGATTTAAAGCACTGAGTGGTAATGCAACTGTTATGGACAGGCGTGTCACTTACCAACACGTGGGCGACTCGTTCATCGCGTCACTTGGTCTCATAAAAAAAAATTTTTTCGCCATTTGGCCATATATACCCCGTAACCTACACCCGGCCACGCGCCGCAGGCCGAGGCCGACCCCACAGTGGGTGGGATACAGGGCTCGTTTTAGTATAAAACTATTAAGCTAAACGATGACAATAGGTGTAAATGAACTATAGAAAGATGAATAACACAACTTACACCTGTTCGAATACACTTTCGTGACAGCTCTCAACTCTTAGACTATTCCTTTATTTTTTTCCATTCTCAACTACATGTTTCGATATTGCGTCAATAAATGGCGCGTAAAAAGATGTAGGTGTGAGTTTTTATATGAATATTAGTATGCATTTTCAAATTTAGAGAGCTTCACGTATTGGGCAAAACGAGAGCAAATGTTAAGAAAATAATCTTTAACAAAATTTATATAACTCAACGGACGAACACTAGTTGGTATTTTCTGCTATAATCTAACTAATGAGTGCAAGCTAGACTGAGACGTTTCTCACACACACTATGAAATGACATTGCCAAGCTGCGACTGTGAACAGATCCACCAAAGCACCCAATCTATACGTGGAGTTAGGCATCAGCTAATGTAATTACACATTTACAGAACCGATTGCTGCTGAAACGTAAAAAACAATAAGATATATAAACAATTCGTGAATATACATACGTATACCTAAATAAAACAATTTCATATCACTAAGAAAACAATTTATTACCCTTGTGTGTCCCTTTCAAGAATTTTGTTACATCAACACGTTTGTTATGTAAGAGCATAATAAATTTTTCGCCGTACTAGTAATAAAAAAAAGTGTTTCGCGACACGTGCGGTGCTGAAGGCTAAATATTCCATTACGTTCGCTTGTTCACAAATCATCATTGGAGTCGGAACAAAGTGTCCTCGTCTCCGTCCGAAGACGATTTGTCGTTTGTCACGTAATATAAGACCATCCTGTTCCTATTTTATGTGGAAATTTACGATTCGTTGCTTAAAATCGGTTTGTCTTAGTAAATACTTTCATAGATTTCTCACATATGGCGCTACGGCAAAAGAGTAGTTAAAAACCAAAAACAAAGATCTGCAACAAGCACAAAGAAACATTCGAAAGGTTAGCTGGTTCGTTCTCTAGCTCAGTTGGGAGACCACCAGCCACGGTATGCTGACAACTCTGGTTCAAGTCTAGCCGGATCTAAAGATTTTTCTTTGAGTTTTTTCGATTTTTGTATCAATTATAACAATAACTAATAGAGTACCTATACGAAAAAAAAAAAAATAAATATAAGGTTCAAAACAACGACACGTTGCTAGACCACCAAAATTGGTGTCTAAACGTGTATCGATTATAGATTCTTGATATAAACTTTTGTGTTGCCAAATGAAATTATTTCCCATTTACCATATTTAATAACACAATAATAACACAAATAAGTCTCAAACTCTTTGGAAAAGATTAATTGAGATTGGAGACGGAAAGAAGCATCCGGTTATCGGCCGTCAAGATCGTCCAATCATTTGTCTCGCACCTACGACCAGCATCCCGTATATTAGTAAAGTAAACTAACTGATACATTTAACTAATGTTAAATGTAACTAATGTTAAATGTACCAGTAGAGCTCCTCGTGAAACAGTTCGTTCAGAGAAGTACTGCCACCTTACCTATTTCTGCCGCCAAACAGTAACGTAAGTATTACTGTGTTCCGGCTTAGAAGGGAAAGGGTGCTGATGAAATTATAGGCTCATGGGACCTGTCAACTTATGTCTCAAGGTGATGGGCGCAGTGGCAGTGTCCCCACAGATCTTTGCGATCTAAAGCTGGTGAGTCGCACTGCAACTGCTATGTTGAATTGGACATGCGTGTCGCTTACTTAAAATATGCACTTTACACTTTTAACGAAAGTATTTCCTGTTATCAGTAGAAGAAATTAATTCGTTGTTTCTACCGCTACAGTAATTCAGTAGTAGAATTTTTTTTGATAATGAGTTGTTTTAAATAAAAATTACATGAGATTGAAATATTGTTTAAATTATCACGGTCACACGTGCTAACTCTATGGCGGTATCGGGGACAATTATAATCTTTTCGCTTATAGAACAAGATAAATTGTATCTGGAGCCATTCCAAGTACTAGTAAATAAAAATATTTTATGAGTTAGCTGTATGATTAGAACATAGCACTTATTGACATTCAAGACATATAGTGTCACTTTTATTTACTTATTTATTTAATCGTTTATTGCACAAGAACAACACGCAATCACACAAATGATCTGTTTATTTCTAAAAGAAATTGCTTTCTGAATGTTTAAATACAGGACACAACAACTAAAATAACGAACTTCCATGCACAACAAAACAAAAATTATATTATACAAAAGCAATATCAAAAACCACTAAATTATTATAAACTATGTATATACATATTTTATATTACATATGAAATGCATGGAATAGTAGATAAATTTGATGTAGATGATGTTTAATTCCTATTTTTAAAATTGCTAGCGATTTACTTTCGGGAATAGTAATAGGAAGTGTGTAAGTGACCTTTATTGGTTACATGGATTAGAAACAAATCACATTTTCTTGTTAAGTATTTACACAGACGCAAACCTGTGTATTAAAAATAATAATTTATTTGAGACCATAAATTATCCATAGTATGTTAGAAAAGAAGTAAAGTTAGTAGAAAAAACATTACAAAACAGAATTTGAACTTAATCTATATTGCTCTCTAATGAACTTGCTCAATTCAATATTTTAAGATAAGACAAACACATCTACCCGCATTAACATTAACCTGTATCTGTATAGATTAGAATGCTGTAGTAGGACTTGGCTCACACGACTTAACAGCGATATAAGCTTCCTTTCCATGTTGCGATGCCTGTCAAGTTGTTAGTGGATAAATATATTCATAAGTATATTTTTGTGTAACAAACAACAACACATGTAAAGCAGTATAAATTAATAAATAAATAATCTTTTTCCACATAATGGCCTGGAAGCTGTTCTTACGAGCTACCCCAACATGCCCAATGCTAAACACCTGGTCCGAAATCTACTGCAATTTTTTGGTATTCTGCTGTTCAATGGCGAGTCCAAGCCACGTCGATGGTACTCTACGATTTTATATAAATATAAGTATTATTTAATTTGAAAACTAAATTGCTGATTAAAAGAGATAGAAAATTAATACATCCATAGTAATTTCCATGGTAAGTTTAGTAAGGTAACATCGATCATTATAGTGATTGAATGAATGAATGCCATCAGTGCCATTTTACACTATTTAGACTAAACTGCCATGGCAACTAGATTTTAGAAGAATAACAAATGTAATCATAATTGCTATCTCAGTGGAGGCTAAATGGAATTACATTGATTAGTGGTATCAACAAATTAGGAGACTTGGGGTTCAGTTTGGCAGTCCCATTAGCATTCTAAATTACATTGCACGCGCGTATTGCCTCAACCCGTATACTTACTTACGGCGGCTGGACATTGATCTGCGAATGGCAAGCAATGTAATAAAACTTTTTTTCACTGTACAAGTGTCAACTGCATGTTAAAATTATGCCCCATCTCTAAAACACGTTATACAGCATGATAATAAATCTAAATGTTAGCAAATACCTGTTCAATGGAGCGCACGGCGGTACAATGATTAGCAAATAGGTGAAGCCCGAATAGAATAATATGGCGCATCCTTGTTAGGCAGAGTGCAGTTTCAGGGTTTTCATAGCCCGTTGTACGGTATGAATTTTTACTGACTGATTGCCTGTTTGAAGATTGGGTTTATATAATTAACCAAGGCAATTTAAAAAAGAAAAATTGCGATGAAATTCTGCTCTCCTTATCATAAGTAACGTAATCGACATTTCAGCGAAATTAACACATCTGAGATCAGTAAAAAGAATTCTATAACCCCCTCTGTTCGGTTTTTTTATATCTTATTTTATTCTACTTTCACAGTGTACATACGGCATTTTGCTTTGCGGCAATGCCGCCGTATCTTTAGAATCTTTGTCCTATTGTCAATTTACAATCTAGTCCCCAGAACACCTTTGAGAGATAAGTTTAAGGAAATTAACATTCTTACGCTAGCCTCACAGTACATTTATGAAAATGTAATTTATGTTAAGAGGAATAGTAATTTCTTTATGGAAAATAGTGACAGATATAACATTAATACGAGGAATAAAAATAAACTAGCTGTTCTTTATAGTCGTCTTCGCAAAGTCACAAATTCATCTAAGGG